TTATCCTTGTATTCTTCTACCAAAATTAGCTCATTTACATCTTAAAATTATACGTTCCCGAAATCACAGGTTACTGTATAAAACTTCAGTTTTCTATACACTTTTGGAGTGTTATCAATGACCTTTACTGTCTACCCTTTTTGAATAATCACAAATTAGAAAGTTATTTGTATTTCTACGAATTGCTTATTATTTCTATTGATTGTGCTACATGTACATAATAAATTTACATAATGGTGTATATACACATAATATGATGAGACATGATTGGGTCAGAATTTCTTTAACCAAATATTAAAAAAAAAATCCTCGCTTTGACACCTACTTTGTATGTAAACTATTAAATAATTGTTTATGTACATGTAATATTATTCTATTTCTACACACACTATCTTGCACCACATGTTAAGGTGGCCTAGGGTTTAGAATGCTCGAACTCAATAGGATTTATGTTGTCACTATTACTTTATTAACCTTATATTTAATAAGCATAGATAAGGAACTTCAATAAAAATGTGATTAACTAAAAAATTTCATGCGGGTGTCAAAATGTGTGCTATAAGTGTCGACACCAAAACGTCAGAATTACAAGTTTAGTACAATATGTAGCCAGGTTTTTGCACTCAGGACCTAGGTGTCGACACCGTAGTTATTAAATGTTACTATCTCTTTTTTTAATGACGGGGAAACCCGCAGCAGCTACCATTTAAGTGCGCATTGGGTAAACTTTCGAGTTGACGCAATAGCCTGCAAATCACGCCAACCAGGTAAAAAATCGAACTCATAACCAAAAGTCTCTACGCTCACCTACTCCATTAATTCGGCCACCCCATGAGGGGCATGTTACTATCTAGCTTGATTTTATTTATAGATGTGTGGACACTCGGGCTGCTGGTGTCGATACCTGGAGATATAAGAACATGAGGTTCATTCAATACATTCTAAACATACTAGTGTCACACTTAAACGTTTTTGTGATAAAAACAAATAGAAGACCCAAACAACAAATCAGTCTACTCTACAATCTTATAATACATTATTAAGTCTTCAAACATCGGTTGTGAACAAAATATTTACGATCAATATATAAATCAAGTGATCATAGGGACATTAATTCTTGTGCTCAATATTTGATAAATATAATAAATAAACCACAATTTATAGATTGTGAAATGTTATTATATCATATCAAAATATACTACATGAGCATACATTCCAACAAATCTCCCACTTGTCCTAAAGTATATGTATCATATCTTGCAGATACCCCTCCAAAATTTTAGCCTACATACCCTTAGTAAAGGAGTTTGCATGGTTATCCCTAGCAGCAATCAAACTAACAACCATGTATACTCTACCAACAATCTCTCTCAAGATAATAAATATTCATTCAACATGTTTACTCCTTTGATGACTTTTTGGTTCATTAGCATAGGCAGTGACTTAACTATTATCATAGCACAGCAACAAGTGCCCAAGTTAAATATTTAATCTAAATTTTTAGCTCACAATTCTCCAAGGATCCAACAATAACAATTCAAGTAGCAATCTTAACTCCGCCACACTACTACTTTTCATTTTCCATCTCATGGAAACCCTTTTTGCTCTGCTTAATCTTACCCCCATCTAGGGAAATTTTAGTGATAGATTCTATAGTACATGCAAAATAATTCTGATTTGATCCATGTAAACGCTGACCTGAACCTGCCCAATGTCGATTTAAATCTGTACAACAAATTGTGCGAATTTATATCTTCACATGTAGACCTTGTTTATGCCTAGTGTTGACATAGTAGTAGTAGTAGTAGTAGTAGTAGTAGTAGTAGTAGTAGTAGTAGTAGTATTATTATTATTATTATTATTATTATTATTATTATTATTATTATCGATCTTCATTTGATTGTCTTCAAATCTTTAATTAATTTATAAGGACTCTAAAAATAACAGGAATTGAAAATTACAAAAAATTACATCTTGATCTTGAAATTACAATCTTGATATTGAAAAGAAATTAAATCAAAATGAAAGAGTGGTAATTTACCTATTTTGTTAACAGACTCGAAATAATAAATTACAATCAAGAAGTGGCTACAAAATTATCATTTCATATTTATAATAATTCCAATCAATTAATTATCATATACTCAATTATTCTTAGATGTCGCTCACCTAGAACATGCAATCGATTCTAAGATAACACGTGACCATTTGCTATAATACTAATTGTTGAAATACGGAAAAAGAAATACCTAGAAAATTAATTAATTTTTAATTTAAGAATTCAATATCATTATTAGATGTTCAAATAAATATTATCATCAAGAAAATAGATATTTAGAATTTATCAAAACTCATTATACAATTTTTTGATTAGATATGAATCACGAATTTTCAGCTTTTAATTTCAAGAACTTGATGATTCCAACCCCTAAGTCATCTATGGTATTCTTCAAAGTAAATACTAAACTAATATGTAGACACTTTCTTTTAATTAAATCAAGAACAAATTTCAAACTGAACAGATAAAGAAAAGAAGAAAATAATTTTCTCTCTCCAAATTTAAACACTATAGAAGAGTTATCATGTTATTATGTTATGAAGTTCGGTTCCATCTATTTTCTATTTATATAATTAAAAGTATTCATATCTATGTAGAATAAGAATTCCAAATAAAGTGCAAATATGAGTCTCCATCGAAATTCAAATAGGAGGTCCAATAAAAGTTTAAATCCTATTAGTTCATCAATTATTTAATTACAAGTGTAATCCTAGAACATCAATTACATATACAATAACTTTATTACTTTCAAAATAATTATTATTATGTCTCATTACTTTATAGAGTTACCACGTGAACTTGATCGGACGTATATTATATAAGTTTCAATAATTAGATGATGTCTGGTTAATCATAGATCATCTAGTCTAATTATTAGTATTTATTTTTCATTAAAGGCAAAAGACTACTCTTTTGAAATATATAAGATCACATGAGCTAATATATATTTATAATATTTTCATTTGACCAGTCATATGTGTATTTTATTCCCATTTGAGCCCAATAATTAGGTACCGATGAGAATGACCAGTTTGCCTCTATACTTATTCTAACTTAAATACCATTTTATTCAATGATTTTGTGAATTAACCACAAATGCCGAAGTTTAACAAGCAATAAACACTAAACTTAGACTTCAACTATTCAATATAATATACATAAGTAGTCACTCTATTCGTTATTTTGGATGATGGTTCCTACACAAATTTGAGTTCTCTACTCCACTTATTTTGAGATTCCCAACTCACCAAAATATCTGATCAATTAAATTTATCTTACTCATTGTTGAATCAAAGATCAATCAAAGTCACAATAAGATATACACAACCCCTGTAGTTCATTTAGTTGAAATACCTAATGATTAAATGGAATTTAATTCTCCGTACAGTTATATGTTATAGAATTCAACTTGACACGTGGTTCGTTCAATACCTTCAAATTTACTAATGCCATCTTTAACTATTTTTGCAATAAGAATAATTGCAAACCCAAATAATAAATCAATAGACACTACAACTTTCAATACAAGATATCGACCCTCATATTACATCGTGTTTCTTTATGTAAGCACTCAACTTATATTATTACAAGTGAACATATGCATTTTGATCGAATCCTCAATATTAATAAATGCAATACATTAATAGAATCATCATTATATATTACAAAATATAATTTCATCACAACAAAACATATATATGGCCATACAACTCAACAAAATTGAGAGCGAAAATGCAAATGATCAGCTCAAATGTTTGGAACCTTTGGCATAATTTACCTTTATAGCTGAAACAAGTGGTGAAAAAAAAGAATACAATACTAGAAATTAATTCGAAATTAGATTGATTTTGTTTGCTATGTTTTAAAATAGTCACCTTTGTAATTAAGTGAGAGACATGATGAAATCGAAATCTAAATCTATTTTTTCAAACAAAATAACATTTTAGATCCCATATAGGTATGACTTATCTAAATGTACATATTTAGAAAAACACTAAATTAAACAAAATATCTGTTATCTCATATTTGATTGATAGGTCCCTATTAACAAACATTATTGTTTGTTCGAGTACTCTTTGTGACATATTTGATATATTAAACTGAACAACACTACATAAAATAAATCATAAATTCTATCACAATTATTTTTTGTAATTATGTCCATGTTCATGCAATATATCATGTCAAATATACACTTACGTTACTGTATAACATATATATTCAAAACGCAATATACATTTACATTGTTGTATGACATATTTGACATACAGTATTAAACGATATTAAATACGGTGAACAATAATATCAACTCTATATATTCTTGCAGAGTCCTATATCGTATCAAATTATACACTTAACGCTATGAATCCCCGCTCTTGAGACGTCCCTCTCACTCTCTATAGTCTTTTCCACATTCCTCACACAACTCAAGTAAAAGTGCTTATGTTCCTACTATTTTTGCAAATTTTGTCAAGGCATAAAGCACTTTCAACCACTTACATTTTCTTCACGCAGTGGAATTTTTATGGCTTTTAGCACTTTCACATCCTACATTTCACTCCCTCTTTTTGTCATGTCTTCCTCTCCTTTTCAATGCCCTTTTCAAGCCTTGCTAGTCTACGTCAAATACTCAATACATATACACATTGATTCGTGTCGACATACACACACATACAAACATATACGTATATGCACAAGCTCATCTTTATTTACTTCACAATTTTATAATATTAAAAAATATATAATATTTGTTAAACCAACTTCATTTATTTACTTATTTATGTTTTAATTATAGATAAAAATTTAAATAATCACGAGAGTTAAACTCAGGAATTTAATTAACTCAGATTCTCTCGTTAAACTAACTTAAGTTCAACAATATAACAGACAAAATTTCAACAATTTTTTTTTTTTTTCACTAATGCTGTCTAAGACTGTCAAGTTCTTCGTACCAAGACGATCTGAGAGTTCATATTCACAACTTGCCCATGCAAGTTCCAACTAACAAGACAAACAAGAAAGCAACCTTAAGATATGTCTAGGAAACAAAAAAAATATGTATATCAAAACTTAGAGATGTATATAGCTTTGAGAAAAACAAAAGGGAGCTTCTACTATAGCAAAGAAGTCTTCCTATCAGAAGGATCATCCCAAGCTTCTCCAGCAGAGCTTGAACCACCACCAATGGAAGCAGCAGCAGCATTAAGTCCACCTCCTATTGAGGTCAAGAAGGCCGAAAACTCGCCAGAGGGGCCTTCACTAGCACCCATTCCCAGGCCAAGAAAATCTAGAGTCGTCGGCTTGTTACTTAAGAGTGACGTTGATGGGCCAATCATGAAGTCATTCAGACCCGAAGAACGATTGGAAGGGATCCCCAACCCAAGACCGGGATCAAATGAACTGTTTCCAAGCTGCATATGACTGTTCCAATGTGGTGGGGAAGGGGCAGTAATAGTAGCAGCAGCTGGCATCGAGATGTTATCTTGAGGATCGGATGAAGATGACATTGCAAGCCCGAGGCCACGAAGAAGTGAGGAGTTGGCTGATGTTGCACCAATTTGAGCTGCTTTCTGAAGCAATGCAGTTGCAGACAGTGCTGGCTGTGGAGTTGATGCATAATGCCTATAGGGATCCTGGGATGCAGTCGGGAACAAAGATGCTGGACTAGTAGAGAGATACAAAGAAGATGACAGTGAGAGCGATATGGGATCAATGGTCGAGCACTCCGATCCAGCCATTGCACACAGTAAGTCAGAATACGATGAGGGACAACGGGATGGTTGTGCCAGTTTGTCCAAAGTAGATGAAGCAAATATACTAGCAAATACTCCACTGCTGCTATTAATATTTCCGTTATAGGTGGAGACACCACTGGCAGTAGCGGCAATGGTGGTAGTGGTGGTCGCGGTGGTGATTGAAGTAGACAATGCAGCTGTTCCGGGTTGCGGTTGAAAATGCAGAGTCTGATTTTCAGGAAATTCTGCTGCTACCAAGAAAAGAACAAAACAAAGAGAGGGAGAGAGAGATCACACACCCAGAACAAGGAGGGAATAAGCTTTTAAAAAAGAAAATGCCTTTTTGGATCTTGAATCTCAATATGCAATAACTTTAAACTTATATAGACCTTTCAAGTAAAAGTAGTGTTATCATGGACTCCTTTTCCTCTAGTTTTGAGCTAATTTAAACATTCAAGTGGGGGACTTCGCAGTATCAAAAAAGTAAGATCTCGTGTGCGCCTCATTGTCCAATCTTTTCCAGTACTGCATTGAAAATGTTTTGGGATCCGTTTTCATACATGGACACTCCTCTCTCTCACACACAAAGTGAGGTAAAGCAGCATACACAAGCAAGCAAGGTAGTCATATTATTCATCCACTTGAAAACAAGAATGCTAATAGACAAAATATATAGTAACGTTTCAAGAAGGCCGTATTAATTAAATAAAGAATAAACAAAAGCTAATGAAAGTTCATTTTTAATCCCGTAAAAAGCCATTTCGGTTCATAACATCCTCGTTTTGGCATATGTATAATGCAGACAAATTATAGATCACATTCTTACACTCTCGTCTTAAAATAATAACGTCGTGTTTGGTAGCCAGAATTTATTAGCACCAAAGACAGTAAAAAGGGGGGAAAAAAGAGTTAAAATCCCATTCTTCAAACTACCTGAGCTTTGAATGGATAGCACCGGAGATAGTACTCCGGTAGACGACGGAGTAAGAGGCGGTGGAGTTGGACTGGAAGATCCTCCATTAACTACCTGAACTTCCAAGGTTGGAGACCTTGTGCTCTCTTGCGCCAATGCATCGCAAAATGCTCTATGTGTAATAAAACTATCCTTCCTAATAATCCACCAAACAAGAAACACGGATTACTGTGTGTCCCGGGCAATCGAAAATCATAACAACACAATTGATCATATCATTACCTTGAAAACAAGGTTCCGCAATCACACCGATACTCACGGGAGCCACAAACTTTCATGTGGGCTTTCCAATCGGAATGAACGGCGTAAATCTTTGTACATCTTTCGCATTTGTACTTCTTCTCGCCGTGTTTCCGGCAGAAATGTTTCTTGATTCCGGTGAGGTCACCGAGGGCTCTTGACGGGTGATGGTGAATGCAAGAGATTTCTGGGCATACGTATACTCGTTTTTTCACTTCATTGCCGGATCTTTGCCGGAGTTTCCATGGTAAATTGTGGCCTCGTCTATGGAGTTGCAGATTCTGTTCTCTTTGAAACCCTTTGTTGCAGATTTCACACACAAATCTGTTGGTTGCTAGCAGTGCTTTTGGGGATAAAGCTATCACTTCTGCATCTGGATCTGCAACGAAAACAAATAATATAAATCCACGTCTCACTCAATTTGTTTAGTGACAATTCAATACAAGAGTGAGCATTTTTATCAGGAACCACTCGAATGGGACTAGAACCCGAACGCATTGGTATTGGGTTCTTTCTTATCAAAATCAAACTGGATTGACTGGTGCTCACCAACCAGAACTGATAGAGAAAATGATTTACCAGGCATTCCGGGCTGATTCCGCCTTTTCTTGGCTGCTGGTTGATCGGTTGTTTGATTCTCAACACTTGAAATCGATGAAGTCTCCATTTCCGCCTTGCTTCAAGCTTTCCCTCTCTAAATTCAGCTCCCTATAACTGCAATTTTCAGAATTCAACAAAACTTCTAGCAAAAGCCCACAAACAAGAATTCACCAAAAACCAAGAAAATTTTATTCTACGAGCTTGAAATTCACGGAAAACAATAATTTTGCAGAAAGAGGGTACGAAAAATCCCTTGAAAATTGAAAATCCAAAAAAAAAAGATGTTCTTGAATTAAACAAAACGAGGACGCCGGTTCAACTCAGTAGCCCACTACAAAAACCACCCCATATATGTTTATACACGACGGAACCTCCAATCTTTCGACCATGTTATTCTTTTCCCTATCAATTTTGTACTATCATGAGGAGAGAAAACAAAAAGAGAGATTTTGAAGTGAGTATAATCATATTATAAGCTTGTTGTTTAACACTGGACTGAACGGCGGCATTTAATCATGGTTTAATTTTTAACCATGATTAAATACAGTTTCAGCTTCTTCTTCCTCGGTCCGAAAATGGCGTGGCATTATATAGGTGAAATCCGACCGTCCACTTGGCATCATCTTGTTACATAGACACTTGTCGGGGGAGCTGCGTACTACGTGTTGCATTGCTTTGTCGTTTTCTAACCCCTTCAATATTTCAACCTTCAAATTTTCGTAAAAATAAAATTTCTTATAAAGACATTTGTACCCTTGTCACATTTTCGGATGAATAATAATATAATACCATCTAACATTAAAGTATATTCAACAAACTTTCTATTTCTAGAAACATATTATATCATTTGCAGAGTATTTATGAATTTAAAGAGCTAAAATTTTGAAGTATTTCAACAAGTTCTTTATATTTAACACTTAATTTTATTACCGAAAAATATTTTTTTCCTCTATCTTTTATTTTAATTAGAAATGGGCAAATTTTTCGAATCGATCCCGAACCGAACCCAACGGTTCTTGTCAAATTAAATACCGGAACGGGTATTTAAATTGAGAATCGACGGGTACGGTTCGGTTCTCGATTTTAGACCAAAAATCGAATAACCAAATAAGAACCCAATCTTTTTATTTTTTTTATATTAAATAAATCAAATTATTTTAATTTTAATTTTTTCTAAACAAATTAACAAATTAACAATTTATAAATTCAAATTTTTGGTCCAACAATTTGTTTCATTTTCAATTTTTTAATTTTTGGCCAAATTATCCATTTTATTGTTTCATTTCTTAGCCCAACAAGATCTAATCCACTAAATAACCCTAAACACTACACTAAAGTGCATAACGCCGTCTCAACTCTCACAGTCTTGCTGACATTCCAAAACCTATACAATCGTCGGCCGATGCTGTGACCTCCGATCGAAGCTGTGACCTCTGCCGATCAAAACTTTGACCGTAGCGATCATTTGAATAAGGTAATCTACTAGTCTCTGACATTCCAAAATTATTGAATGTGTCATTAGTTGTATTTATATAATATTGTTATAAATATTAAAAAATTTAATTATAGTACATAACCGAACTGAACCGAATGGAACCAAACCCGAATGGTATCATAATTCTATTTGGACTCGACGGTTTCATTAACTAGATACTCAAAAAATTTGGTTCGGTTGGTTCTCTTTAGAACCGAACTAAATCGACCCGCGTCCACCTCTAATTTTAACTATTTTTTTGTGTTATTTTATTATTTTCTTATATTGAAAATTGAAACATTTTCAATGAATTTAATTATAAAGTGTGAATTTAGCTCTCCAAATTTGGAGGGTCAAACCCACTCCTGAAATTAAAATGTTAATTTAAAGAATTATATAGAGTATGATTTTAAAGGTTAATCGTTAAAATAAAGAGTATCTTATGTTATAGTTTCTCTTGGAAATGACCTTAGCTGTGCTTAGTGGTACAATACCTAATCCCTATATGGGCTGCAATAAAATGAAATTTTGAAGGAAAATACATATTGAAATGAAGATTTTTCCGAAAATGTATACTTAAAATAAAGAAAAAATTTAAACTTACGCATAATACTTTTTTATGGGAGATCGAAATGGCTTGGCATAATCCAGTGGAGATATGATGGCTGTACAAGCCACACACATTTGGTGGGGGGTTGATTTTTTTAAAAAAAAATAATCACTCACCCCCCAAACATTAATGCTGGCCTGTACAGGCCCCGTTAAAGTTGGCATGTACAACCAATAATCTTAGGAAAACCCTTGTGGTACATAAAAAGGGGGTACATAATGGTGTCCCCCCGCCCCTCACATGTGTCGGGCCCACTTGAATATTATATTCAGGTGGGTCTGGCATACCCATAGCATTGCTTGTAATCATATCCAGTGTCTACAATTGAGCTGTGTAATTGGGGCGGTATGTAAGCATCCACAAGCAAGGTTAATTGGCCTACTCGAGCTTATATATTGTGTAAAATAATGATAATGATAATGATAATAATAATAATAATAATAATAATAATAATAATAAAATACCTATGCAAACTTATTGTAAGAAAATTGTATAAGCTCGTGGGTGAAATGAGGCCTGTGCTTTCACAAAATACACACACAAATATCCTCCTCTCGTTTCCTTGAAATTGCAATAGAGAGGTAACAGTATGATGTCGATACGTTAAAACTATGTTCAAAATAGTACAATTTGATTAAATCTATAAAACAGTTTATGGACTTAAAAAAAAAAAAGGTTGAGCCATAACTTTGAGGGCCCCCACCGCCCTCGCCCCTAGAGTTTTGTGAAGGAGATAAATAGCGAGATGTACCCCCAACAAATTAGAAAACAAGAGCTGCATGTACACTGTGCTTTCAAGGAGTTTATAGACTTCATCTCATTTTTCATATAGGTGTCATTTGTTTTGAACAATTCCGATAGTTTCAACGAACATGTGTGGAACTATGAATAGATCGAAAAATATTCTAGGTATTACAATCACTTTTAAAAAATTATAAGTTCAAGAGTAAATATGAAACAATGTATAAAGTTCATAAATAATTTTTTAAAGATGAAAAAAAAAAAATTATGGGTAGAAGAGAGAAGGAAAAAAAAACTACTATATCAAACATGAGTACAAGAAATACGATTACTCCAAATGATAATACAATGAAACTCTAAAATATATCATATCTATATATAGGGTGCGAGAATAATAAAAGAAATCCATACCAAAAAATAAATAAATAACGAAGCTTGATCCCTCCGTTACCACTACAAACCCATAAAAATTTTCATAATTTTAATTTCATTACATATGTTGGTTGCACTGTGATTTTATTTTTATTTTTTTGAATCGGACCAAACAGAATTCGAATCATAGTATTCGAACATCAAATTATAGGGAAAAAAAAAATATTCACAATGGAGCTTGCTCATTCACGTACCATGTTTGAAGTATGAACAATGTTACAATGGAAATTTCAAGAATGCCACCGTTAGTTTAAGGGGATAGGTACGAGGATTAATAATGCCAAAATACATGATGTGTTACTTGTCAGCTAGTCGGTGGCATTTATGTGAATCCATCAAAAATGATGTCGAATTGTCAAACACTGAAACCAGGACGGTCAAATGATAATAATGCCTTGATGGGAGAGGAATTCCTATTTTCGGAATTCTGTGACATATTTTGTACTTTTTGGACATTTTACAACTATCGTCGTCCTATTTTGGCCGTATTTGTACTGAATACAGTCAGAGGTTTGACTACAGCACAGCACGTGTGTCAGTATATTCGTAGTGCAACTGCACGTGACAGCAGGGATTTTACGCAATTATTACTATTAATATTTGGGAAATTGCAATAATTTTTTGACATAACCCTTGTTTGGTCCTTATTATTTTAAAAATATGTATTTTTCTTTTATTTTCAACCACACATTCTTCAATAAAATAATATTATGAGTAAATTAAAAAAATTTCTTATTTTTTAATCACACATTTTTCATAAAAATATTATTTTAAAATATATTTTGAACAAAACGGCTCTAACATGCTCTTATTGTTCAATTATCACGTCAATATTGGACTTTTAGAAAGGAATAGCAAGTTTTTATTACCTTATGATAAAGATTTTTTGAAATGTGATTTTGAAATAAAAAATTATGTAAAAAGTTATGAGAAAATGTAAAAATGATTTCTTTTTTCTTTTTCTTTTTTTAGAATGAGTAATTGAAAATAAAGACAAAAGGGAAGTGATTCTCAAATAATCAAAATTAAATAAGGTCATAATCTTTAGTTATAGCTACACAACATGTATGAACCACAAAAGACATGTTAATCCATGTTAAATCGTTATGTGATACTAATTATTCGTCAATCTGAATTTCTAAAATCGACCATATTTCAAAAATTAAATAAGATTCATAATTAACGTTGAACATGTTACGTAAATACAACTTAATAGAGATTCAATAGATTTTCGTTGTTGAAGGCTTATTGTGAAATAAATTTATTTAAAAATTTAAAACATTAAAGTCGAACATATTTATTTAATTAAATCTAGCGAGGGAAGAGATCTTTACATTAATTAAGATTGCTTCCAATGATTGAAAAATAATTATAAAAAAAGGCCTTTGCAAATTAAGGATTCTATGAAATTTGGACACATTTTGAGTAGAATGTTAAGATTACATTAAGGAATGAAGAATATATCACATTAATCGGACAAAGCAATCAAGCAAATACTATAAAATTTTGTCCTTTTTATCTCTGCAACAACACAAAAATTTGCTACTCAACCAACATTAATCTATCTAACAATGGAACTTTATCCTACTTTATTCAATATTATAAAATTAATATCTTATATGGTGAATATAAACCATATTATTTATTTACCCCTCTATGAATTAAAAAGTATTAGTTAAATTTGAATAATATGTTGGAAAAGTTATTAATTTATCATATGGGCCTATTATATAATTAATTGTGTATAAAGCTTATATTAAAATTAAGTCCAAAATTAAAGTGATCTAATAAATAATTAAGTATTTGAGCTTAGGACATTTAAATAAACTGTGTGCCGAATTATATATATAAAGAGATTAGATTCCTTTAAAATTGTATTTTATAACTGCGCAAAATACATATGAAAATTATATATAGGGATATGACCCCTAATTCATATATAATTTCTCATTTTTTGTGCTATCCCGTCAACACAATAATTAATAGAGAGCATATTGAAGAGAAATATTCAAAATTCACATAAAACAATTCAAGAATCAAGAACAATGATTGAAGAATTTAGGAATCCGTAATCAAGAATCAAATTGAAGAACAAGAAATCAAGATTAAAGATTGAAGTTTCAAATTTCATTATTCAAGATACAAATCAATAGATCAAGGTATGTTCCGTACTAATTAATTTTCTTGGTGATTTCACATAGAGATCTTGCCGATTATATAAAGTTTAAGTTCAATAAAAATTCAACATAATATACATTTACTTACAAGTAAATAAGAGTTAAAAAATTTACTTATAAGTAAAAATATA